GTATTTTGTTAAATTTATTGAGGTTACACTAAATATTTTTACATCGTTTAGAGTCAGAAAATATACAGGTACGTTAAGTTATATTTTTATTAAGTTTTCAAGGATTCTGTTGTAGATAATGAGTAGTTAAGTAGTTCTAACCTCAATTTCACACATTTCCTCTAATGAATTTAGTTAAAAATTGCTGTGTCAACTCTCCTTATACTGTAAGGTGAGTTAACGCACGTATGCGTAAGGAGAGTTGGCGCAATAATAGACACATCGTTTAAAATTTTATTTTGTCAGAAATGTTATTAATTTATCGTTTATACCATACCGACGAAATATAAAAGAAATGGAAACGTTAAAAGAGGAGAGGGGACAATAGAACAGTTGTCTAGAGCAATCAGTGCTATCGATAGAGATGAGATGGGTATTCCTGAGACAGGTCGCGAATTCGGTAGCCCCGAATGCACTTTGCGACGCCGAAGGAAATGTGAAGACCTCAAACTAAATCGTTTGGTACACCTTCTGGAGCACTAGGAGCCCACAATAGGATAAATTAGTAAAGCAAAAGTTGAAAACACATGGATTTTTACCTACGAGATCCTTTATGCGCTTTATGGCTTTTGAGTTAGCAGAAAAATTAGAATTACCATACAATTTCAACAGAAAATCTCACAAGGCAGGCTATGTATGCATGGTTAGATTTTTCTTTAAGAAGAAATAAAGAACAATACGAAAACAATTACGTTTTCGTTCAGAGTATATGCTTATTTGTCTAACTACAATAATGAGTATTTTATTTATTATTATTAATAAATGAATAAATAAACCAAAAGTAAATTATATGAAGTTTTAATACAAATTTATGAAAAAAATAATAATGTGCGATCATTTAACATACTGCGTTATCTCTCCTCGATACCTAAGGTGAGATGACGCAGTCATAAGAAAAAAAAAATATTAGTTTTTACCAAAATCTCAGACATTTTGTCATATTTGAAGTCATATATTATAACTTATTAAGCTTTTTTAACGTATTCTGAAGTTTTGATCTTTATTTTCAATTCCACATATGTTTTATAATTATTTTAAAAAATTTTTCTTCAGTGCTTAAGAGTATACTAGAAAATGAGGGTAATGATTTATTTTCACAAGCGAACGGCAAGTACCAAGTTTTATTTAAATTAATTGTCAGAAGAATACCATCGAACCACTTTTTTATAAGTATCAAATCTTTTTCCACAATATTTTTCAAATTAGTCCAAGTATCAGATTTATAAAACAAGGCAGTGTCATCAGCAAAGCTAATAATTTCAGCACTCGAAGGTATTAAGAAAATTAATCATTTATTGTTCATTTTGAATTAAATTAAACATAACTTTATGAGTAGCAAATATCATTTCAAACTCGAGTATTATACTTTTTTCGTTCTGAACACTCGTCGTTAATAGAACTACATTTTCATCTCTTGTTGCAAAATTTTACCACCACTTCATAAGCAAACAAGCACAACTGAATTCTAGAAACATTATATAGTTCAACACTAACTTTCTGTCTATTATAGAAATTTTTAATCTACACAGGAACACTGTGTTAGAGAATACGCAAATATATTGAAATATTTTCATCTTTAGATAAAAAAATGATAATGCAAAATTAATAATTTTCTTAATAATAACACTAGTTAGTCCTCCTGGCCCCCGTAAGCGAGTCATTTGAGTAAAATCGCCGGAAAAGTACAAAAAATCGTCAGAAAACCACTTACGAGGTCTGTTCAGAAAATAACCGAACTTTATTTTTTTTAAACCTTATTTTGTAGATCATTAGTCATTGTCTCCTTCAAAATACTCCCCTTCTCTATTCATACACTTTTCCCAGCGGTATTTCCATTTTGCGAAATAATCCTGGACAGTTTCATTTGACCTGTAAAGTGTGTGACAAATTTGGACCCCGCACTTTTCTTATGAAAAAGGATTCAGTTAAATTGGCTGAAATTTTTATATGTTACAGTTGTTCTTGCCGATCAAAAGTCTCCATTGGCACAATATACAAAAGTTCATAGTTTTCGAGTTACGTTGACTTCAGGGCTCTGAATTCGAATTGAGTCTGTATTCGAAACTGTGAGTAGTTCTTTTGACTATAGATTTCTGTTAAATTATTCTAGTTGACGGCATAAAAACCTATTGATTTTCTATAAATTGTAATAAAGAATTAAATATTTTTTCTTTTATGCACATATACACGGTGGGCCATTAGTGTGAGAAAGTAAAATAACTCCCTTGTTATTCCTAATACAGAAAAAAGTTTATATAAAAGTTGTACAGAATTAAAAAACCTAAAGGACAAAATTAATTTGAAACACACAGGGCTATGAGTAAAAACGGGATACGCCAAATATTACATTTTTTAAATGAAACACTCTATATATTTATGAACATATGGATTTCTGAGAAAATTCTATATATGGCAATATAAACAGTTTATCATTTTAGTGCGCGGTTGCCAAGTTATGTAGAAAATTCTTCGAATTTTGGAAAAAACATGACCTCGAAGAAGTTGTATTAACTTTTAACTACTAATACTTGGAGCAAAAATATTAGACAGAGTTATAGGCAAATATTAGCTAATATCGATATTTTATACAGGGCATTTTTTATAATACGATCATTTTAAAAAAGTTCAAACTTGTTTTTCTAAAATTTTTCAAGTGGAACACTGTATTTTATTGTTCTATTTTATTCACATATCAGTCCACTTCAACTTTTATTGTATGTTCTACACCTAAAGTTGTTTGTTTTTAACATATAGTAACATTTCTGAAAAAACCTAATTGTATTATTTTCGGTCGCAGGAAATGGCTTTGGAAAAAACTGTCACGTTGTGGCAACTTATCAGTTTATAATTTATCATTCCATTTTGAGTTAATTTTATTAGTTAATATTTATTTGTGGTATTCTATAAAGTTTGCTATATCTTAAAAACTAACAATTTTAGATATAGAACATGCTTAATAAAAGTTGAAGTGGACCGATATATGAATAAAATA